GCGGCTGGTATTGCTATCACCGTGTCCGCTAGCAACCGCGACCTGGAGGCAAGAACATCCCTATGTCTTCAACGACATTCGACAGTTCAACTATACAATTTTATATATTTTTATATGCATTACAAGATGTAAAATATGGGATACACAGGAACTAGATAAATATGCCGGATCTACAGGATTTAAGGAGTTCTGCAGAGCCAATTTAAGAGGAACAGCAGCAGCAGCTACACAATCTGCAGAATCTACAAAGCAGGAAGAACTTATGGAATCTACAAAAAATCATACTGTCAGTAAGATCATTTGTGAGATCCCCCTTTTCATTGAATTTAGGGATCGCCTAGATCTGCACTTGCTACAGGATCAACATGAAATCCAGAACGTGCACTAAGTATCTACTGGATGTTCAGATATGCTATAAAGGATCTGGCGGTGTATATTTAAGAGGTGATGTTATTTCCGCCTTAAACATCGAGTCAAGAAGGTATAATAAGAAACTTAAAAGCACGTGGAGGAAATTAAAGAATGGTCTTGGTGGTGCGAGCGATTCCATTAAAAAAAGGGGTAAAAAAGGGCATGGATACGGCCCGAGAGAGGTGCAAAAGCCCCAAGAATTTGTGTGAAAAGCAGCAAGCGTGGCAACAGAGCAATTAAGGTTTGGGCAAATTGCGAAAAGGGTACGAAATAGGCATAAAAATGGCTAATAAATAAGAATAATAAACGGTGAGAGGGGGTATACATAAAGTAGGAAGGTGGAACGTCTTAGGATAAGCAAGCAAGCGCAAGGTGAGTTGAGGAAATTGTAAAAAAAGCGTGAAAGGTAACGTGCACCAACCGTAAGCGTAGATATGGTGCGAAAGAGGTGGTGGAAAGAATGTACAACAAGCGCAATGAAGGCCTGAAAGAGGTGTGAGGGTGTATAACGAGAAGGAATGAAGACTTATTAAAGAACCTTTAAAAAGGTAGAGGAGGTTAGAAAAAGGGGTGGAATAAACGTAAGGGAAACAGAAAAACACATGAAGGAAGCTGTATAATGCCAGTGGGTACCGTGAAAAGGTAATGAACAAGTTTATGAAGATAGTAGAAGCAGGATTGGAGGAACTTGGTATGGAAACTAGTGGAGCTCTCCTACCAAAAGGCAAAAAGTCTGGTGAAAATCAGTAGAATCAGGTTGGAACAAAAGTTGATGAATAAAAACGATCTTCACAAAACCAGCCTCTAAAGAGAAAGAAAACATTCGCAAGAACTTCCGTTGAGAGGAAGAGGTGCATGCGAGATTTATCCATTTTTTGCTTGATGTCTTTGTGTAAGCTCGAGCTCTTTCACCTCACTCTCAGTTCGTAATATAAACTCTGTATAGCGCCAAATCTCTACATTTAGTACTGTTTAGTGAGATATCGATAACGTCACCGTCTTACAAAGGCACCAAGAACCTTTGTTTAGCATTTAAACGCGGTTACGACGCCGCCGACTTTATAATAATTCAGGCCGGGCCTTCGCGGTTTCCCCATTATTATTTAAAGAGTTAATTTATTTTAACAACGTGGAATGATGATGTGCATATAAAATACCTTGCGGTTTGAGTGGTTGCAACTCATTAAAATAAAATAGAAGCTCAGCCGAAACCGTAAAATGCAATTTATGGGGAAAATCTCCTCCGCGGCTTTATTTGTCGGTAGAAAAATGGAGGGCGGTAATGAATTAATATAATAAAGTAAGCGTTGTTTTAGCTAGACAATGTCCAGTTTATAGATATGCAGTCATAACGTGGCATCCCCATGAGAACGGCAGCTGTTATCTGGTAAGGGGGTCATTTCGGAGCCGGTCACGCTCTCAGGGGCCCCCTATGTGATGCTACTTCTACCTCATTTTAGTTTGGTAGCACTTTGCCAACAACGTATACTATGAATATTACACAGCGTTGCTTACGTTTCTTATTGTTTTACGATTCCGTATTTGGGGAAGACCACTAAGCTTGCGGGTCACATCTCCAGCGATAAGGGTTTCATCGCCATTATACTGCCGTACGTATAGGCTTATTATTGCGCCATTTCGCGTTTTGATGAACTACGGCGATGAGGCTAAATTAAACTACTATACACCCGCTAAGAAACTTGCTCACACGCTACTATTTTGCATTTAATATTAACGGGAAGGGATTTTGCAGCTGTAATTACAATTGCCGTTAATTTATTTTACTGACGCCACCGCGAAGTACGAATTATACTCCTCTTACGTAGTGCGAGACGCAAATTTACGAGCTACACATTATTCAAATTTCAAATTAGTTTCAGTTACGAAGACAACAAGGTTTATACTGTTGTAACATTTAAGTGGCGCGGAAATATTTCCATAAAATTAAAATCTCTGACAAAAATTGCCATAAGGCTGCCGCTTGCGTCTTCAACTAACGTGAGGCAAAGGAAATTTTCTTAATACAAAACAAATTATTGAAAATACGAGGGTACATATTTGTGTAAAATATGAATTCAAAGGAACACATTTATTCCAGAGTTTCTGCAATAAACAAATCACTAACAGCAACATTCAGGTGATCATCAGAAGCAAATATTTGGCATAAAAAGTATTTCTCCAACTTCGGGTGCTAAATTTGGACTTAGGGCTTGGTTCCTGGGAGGCGGGGGCCAACTTGTTTGAGGTTTTTGTACCCAGCAATTTTCGTGTGGCATTATGGTCTTATTGACAAAATTCATGACATCTTTTATCTCGAATGCTAGCTTTGAGGCCGGAAAAGTTGCGCGATCTCTCTTTCTCGTGTCGCCAATAGAAACTGGAGCTATAAAGTGCCCCAAAAATTGGTTACTATTTTGTTGAGGGTTTATAGTGAAATCTATCAAAATCCGAATTTCGGGTACCGACAAAGCAAATGTGGTCGCCCCCGACAAGATCTTACTGACGGTGGAGTCAAAACTGACTGATAGAATACCGATATGCCACAAAAGCACTGAAGTCCCTTCGATCTCACACGCGGACTTTGATAATTTTTTTGTAATTTGCGACAATAAAAATTAATTTATTCAATGGTTAAAACGCAATTTAAAGTTCTCCATGCTAATTTGGTCAAGTTTTGCGATTAATGTCAAATTAACCAATATCATCCCTCAAGTATTTCCCAATGGAAATTTGAAAATAAATGGTTGAAAGTTAACTGTTTTCCTGTGATAAAAAAATAGCCATTAACAAACCCAATTTGGGGGTCACTAATTATGTCAAGTATTACGATTGATATTCAATTAACCCATATCAGCCCTTAGGTGTTTCACAATAGAACGGGAAGTTATTTCAAAATTAATGGAAGATATTATTTCTGAAAGGAAAGGAGTGCATTATAAATTTTTTTGTGATAAAGGTCATAGAATGCACAAACTCAGTTTAGGGTGTTTAGTCACTGATTATATCAAATATTATGATTGATATTAAATTAACATGTATCAACCCACCAAATATTTACCAATAAAATGGAAAATAAACTCAAAATCCGCACGTTGGTAGTAAGGTACCTAAAGGGTAATCAAATAAGAGGTTCCGAAAGTTTTTTTTAATAAAACGCATTAAATTCAATTTAAAAATCAAAAATTGTATTTGATACGTAAGTTCGCTTCATGACATTTAGTGTTTAAAAATAATTTGTTTTAAATGTTGATCGTGACTGACTTGTAGATGGTCCATTCTATGGGTCCAGTTTCCAAGCGCTCTTTCGAGCATTTCGGCCGAAATTTCATTAATTACACGTGTTATGTTCGCTTCTAATGCAGGAATAGTTTGTGGTTTATCGGCATAAACAAGTGATTTGAGATAACCCCATAAAAAGTAATCTAATGGCGTTTGATCACATGATCTTGGTGGCCAATTCACTGCTCCATTTCTTGATATGATGTTCTCATCAAAAGTTTCTTTCAACAAATCGATGGTTTCGTATATGGCACGTCGCACCATCTTGTTGAAACCATAAGTCGGCTACCTCAATATCTTGAATTTTTGGAAGCAATGTTTTCATTGTGCGTTCAGTTGGACGATTATGAGCACCATAAAATGGTTATCAAAAGAGGGGGTTTGGAGGAGGGTGTGGAACTGGTTTTATTTTTGAACGTATGCCAAGCGGCCTTTAAATGTTTATGTGTATAAAGCCTCCTCCCTATTAATTATCTACCAAGAAAGTAAACATCGATAGCAGGCTACTACCTTATAACCCAACCATTTATTATTTCCGTTTAAAAAAGTGCGCTAATTTAGGATTGCTTCCAGTTTTGGGAATGGGAGCCACCAGTATGCCTTTGAAATGAGACATTTTCTCGCCCTTAACCCATCATTAACCCATATGTCATTGTAAGCGGATATCAATAATTTTAAGTTTTTAGGGGTAGTTTTGAAATTTGAACTATCAAATCATGTCCTCAAAGCCCGCTGCTAAAATACGGGCAGCAAAATCCTCGCATTTGGTTTTCAAAAAAAAAAGAGTAATCATTGAACCTCTATCTATTTAGTATCCTTTAGAAGTAATTTAGGGCTTCTCACTTTATTGTTATACCTGTACGTGGATAGTAACGTTGATTACCATATAAATAGTTCACTAAAATTTACCCTTTTTACGTCTGATCATGCAATATAACGAAATCTAGATAGTCGTGTGTGGTTTTATTTACCTAACGTAACCATGGCGGAAGCAGTAGAAATTGACTGACAGCACAATGCATCCCAAAGGATGTTTTTTTTTAATACCAAATTGCGAAGATCAATCATTTACAGCTACCAATTCAAAGAAACGGGCCTGTTTTGTATAGTATATACCACGCATGAAATTTTCGTATTATTAGAACTGCCAATTAGGAGCGGGTCGTTTTCTCGCAATTCTAACGACCCCGCTTTTTATCATGTTACCGACACTAGAAAATACGCGAAACCATGGTAAATATTTAGAGCCATATTTTTAGCGAACAAAAAAATCCTTTAAAACGTTTCAGGGAAACCCGCAAATGACTTACCTTGAACAGGGGCGTAAATATTTAAATACAAGCAATCTTCCGATTGATTTAGAATAAGATGTTTCACTAATTTCGCAAAGTAATCCTCTCGCTCGGGTCCCATCGTGCTTTTTTCGGGAAGCTTCTGTGGGCAAACTGGCCCAAATGAGTCCGCGATTTTGGTACCAAACCACGAGGGCGCACTTCCGGGTGGCATGAAGCGTAGCTCGCGGGTTGGTGGTGCCGCGTACGGTATGCCTAGGAACTGTTCCACTGGGGGTAAAACACGGTTTACGCGCGGTTCGACTACGACCCCTTGCAGAGTTCCCTGTTTTAATTGTATGCGCCTCGTGTACTGCTTTACGTTCGTTGCATATCCGTAATCGTAAGCGTGCGATTGGGCGCGTACGTGGACAATTAAACTGATAACTAAAATAAATTGTTTCAACAACATTGTGCCTTTCAAGACATCTTTCATCACTTAACAGCACTCGAAATATACGTCCCCCGCTCGATTCGACGATAGCAAACTCCATACTAAATATACCCACCTTCAAATTTCAAAGAAGTGTTAAGAATTCTCCTGACTTTAAATTCTATTTTAAGGCCCTTAAAAGTGTAAATATTTGCTACGTACGTCGGAGCCAAAGCTGGTCTATATATAGATCCAAATAAACGCACATTAATACAAATGCTCGTTATTTACCCAAAGGCAGTTGTACTTCGCTGCTAATTTTGTTTCTCACAAAGATGTTCCGAGCAGATGTTAAACTTTTCTGCAAATTTCTTAATTTATCTATTTTTAATTAACGTCGGAAAGACTTTTCGAAAGTTCGCTCGGAACACAATATCTTTCGGCACATAAACTTGTTAAAATTAGTTGTTCCTAATTGTCAACCTACAGCCCACACTTCGGTATAAAAAAAAATAACAGCTTCTCCGAAACTTTATTGTAAGCACGTTTATTCGAAACATGCAACAGAAAATGACTTATAAAAATAGGTATTGCATCAAAAAAATATGCGAAAATTTAGAATGGCTCGGGGCATTTCCGGTATTCTGACACAAACGATTTTGTCTAAAACTAAACTTTTGTTTTATGCTGCGTGATAATTTATGGCACTCGATCGCCCATGTAAAAGTACTGTGCCTCTCCACTATGAGAAAGCCCGAGACGGGAGAGCACAAAATCTAATCGGTCAAGGGTGAGAATTTTTTCAGCAGTAAAGCGTCAAACGTAATTGTGCCTTTAGTGTTTGTCACCCTGAATAATGCTTAACATTATATGAAGTTTAAAAGTCAAATTGCTACCTAGGCGTCGGCGTCGTTAAGCGTCGCTCCAGTTAAGGAATTCCAACAGTTCTCAGTGTCGTTCTAATTAATTTATTGGGATTAGCCTAGTAATCTTGTGCATTTGAACAGAAATTTATTCGAGTAAAATTGTCGTGATCATTGTGCCCCACTTGTCATTTTTTTGTAATCTTGTACAAAAGAATGGAAATTTATGAATTTGCTTTGAAAACACGAAAAAATGCAATAGTTACTAATTATGATAATAAACTTGAGCTTCTGAAGGAATTTTTTCTGCTTTCAAATTCAGAAACAATATTCTTTATGTTTTCATTAGCTGCATCAAAGGAAAACAAAATGTTAATTTCGCTTTGATACAATTCTTTTTAAACACGAAAATTTCTGATTAATGAAATGGCATGTCTATCTACATTATTTCATGGCAGCAAGTTGAATCTTATTAATTTTGGACATCTAGATTAAACGAGGCGTTGCAATATCCGTACGCTGGAAGGAAACGGACGGGATGTTATCAGAGGCTCAGAAATCAATTCGAGGGTGGAAGTCAGCTAAGCCCATGTAAGGGCTTATTTATGTCCTTACATTTGTCTGACCGTCCTTCGTATTCAAAGGAACACCTGAATGCCACTCAACACCTAATCGCGAGCGCCTATTTTATTCTGTGATTCCCCTTTTTCAAGCGCGCTTTTCTAGAAGTTAATTTATTGAGCGATCGTCCTTTCTTGCTTTTTATTATCATTGCAAACAAGGGAAGACTGTAAAAAAAATTACAACGCATTTTTCATTAGGCTACGTCATAATTATTGGAGAAGCCTAATTAGCAAATAACACCAACTAGAGAGCCTAGGAGCAATGGTGGAATCCTCATCTTAATCCAATCCAAAGGTCCACCCCCAATATCAGCAACTGACTTAATTTTCACCACCTCCCTCAATCTAACTTGGTACCGGAAGGACACCCAGATTCACCATTCGTTACTGTAACATTTTAATATCGAATTTTCATAGAGACAACATAATCTTCCCACTATTCTCCTCATCACACTTTTTGTAGCTCCCGAATCTTATAATCCCAATATTTTTGTAATCAATATATTTACCATAGTATAGGGTCTCTCGAAATCAACTAAAAATCCATTAAATTCTTATAAATTTAAAACATTTAAATTTGAGTTGTTAAATTTATTTCTTCTTGTCTAAAGCAATCCTTCTCAATTTTTAAGATTTCACTTTAATTTAAATTCATGATACAAAGCTCATTTCAATTTCGCCTCTCTGATGAACCCCTGGTAAATTCCCAGTTCAGCCAATATTTCTTATGAAATTTCGCGTGGATGAGCTGTAATCATAGTTAAAGAATAGGAATAAAAATGAACAACTGGGAACAAGCACTATACATCACCTTATCTTAGTTTGAACATACGTTCCAGAGAAACTCGAAGGAAAAATAGGTTATAACGGGAACAGCTAAGGGCCGTAAGGAACCAGATGTTTAATTTAGAAGTAATTACATTAAATAGTTACAACTAAATACCACTTGAGATCTAGCTCCCTTCCTCGTTATGCAAAACTTTATGCGTTATGTACAACTTTAAATGACCTCCTCCTTGCGCTGATTCGCAATGTATTGTGCCGTATTCACTTGGTTGCAGTTTTAAAACTTCTTCGTCCATTAAAGTTTTCTAAGCGAGCAGAAGTTGGCGAAATAAAAATAATCGCGAGCTGTAATGTGTACAAGACTCTAAACACGTTTCGCGTCAACTCAGCGCCCTGCTAGTTGCTACCAACCCTTGTTTGATTAATATTTCCTTAAAGTTAACGAAACATTAATGCCGAACGTGCACAGATAATGAGATTGGTTCGCCGTTTTAGAACATCAATTGCAACCATAGATTTATTCCAAAGGAAATTACTCGAACATCAATAATGCCCGCCGAAAACATAAATTATGCGGGGTCGAATAATTTGTCTATTGAAAGTTTGACGTATCCGAAATTTATCAACTCTTTCGCATACTGACCGTACGTTCTCGGTCGTGATTAAAATTTCTCCGAGGAAAAATGCAATTCAAATGGGGCCGACGTGCAGATGTTGGGCATTAAAGCTCGCCTTCTGAATTCGAGAAAGAAGCTAAATGTGTATCTAAATTGGAATATTTTGTTACAACAGCTGAGCGTATAAAGAGAAAAACTAAATTAAGGGGAAGCTTTCGGAATTTAATCTATTTCAGTTGAGGTGGTGTGGTGAAATGAAAGAAAAGCGGCGAATAGTGTCGGCGTTAAGTAGTACTTTACGTGCTTTTTTTATGAACCGCATTAACGTTAGCCCAATGAATACCTGAATTGCAATTAAGGCATGCATGCCAATCAGAACTTTCGAATTTTTGCAGGTTTTACACCTATGCCTTTGTCGTCTTATTTTCTCTGTTGCCTTCTATTTCAATACTACACTACTTACACAAATACACATATTGAACTTAAAACAGCAACTGTTCCCAAGTTATCTAGGTAGCATTAATTAAAGTTACACGCCATATCGAGGCCTACGGCCAAATCTATAGAACCGTTAATTGCACAGTTTGGGGAAAAAGATTTGGTTAACAAAAGAGGTCAAGAAAAATCGCTAGAAATTATTTTTATTTATATTTATTATTAGTTTCTAGTAGAAAAATTATTTTTTTCCTAAAATATACTCTTTTTGATGCAGCACATTTTGCTCTACGTTATAAAATATGAGGGGTGGGGAAGAAGGCCATCTTTTTAAGGAATTGAAAGTAACTTCGCTTAGTGTAACCGATTTTTACATAATCGCTTTCTTCGTATAATCATATTTTACTATAGAATAAAGTCTTTTTAGTAAACGTGATGAGTGGTAGAGGGCGCAGTTTGACATTAACATAAACTTTGCAGGTTTTCTTTAAATAATAATAATAATAATATTTATTGATGTTTTACACATGGTGTTTACACAAGTCATTGTAAGTATGCAATGTAAGAGACAAACGAATATAATAAATTACAAACAAACATAATAATTAGCCATTATATCACAACATTTATTCGTCAAAAATTCTTCTAGTGAATAGAAAGCCTTTTTTATTAGATATGATTTAATTTTAGATTTAAACTCCATTTCATTGCAATGTTTGAGAGCGGTGGGCAACGTATTAAAAAATTTTATGGCTAAAAAATTAGGGCCGTACTGACTTTTTTTAAGACATAAATAAGTAGGTACGTAATTATGCATATTTCGCGTATCGTAATTGTGAAAGTCCAAGTGGCATTTAAATTTTTGGCAATTACATTTTCATATAAATCATACAAGTCTATATTATGTAAAGTGAGGTTAAGGTTAATATTTCCAAATCTGTGAAGGCTTGCCTGCAATCAGATTGATAGTCTAGGTTAGCCAATATTCTAACCACTCTTCTTTGTATTTTAAAGATTCTAGAGACAGACGAGCAGTGACCCCATATTAAAATACCATAATTCATTATGGCATGGAATAATCCGAAGTACGCCGTAACTTCCGGAAAAACATGGTTTGTTAAATTACGGAGTAAGAACACAGTTCTGTTCAGTTTTGAGGAGAGCTCGTCAATATGACGTGTCCATGAAAGTGTGGAGTCCAGATAGACGCCTAGAAATTTCACCGGCTTTTGGTTAATAACATCACTAAAAGTTAAAACTTCTGTTTTGTCTTCATTTAGAGACAACTTGTTCAAGTGGAACCAAGACTTGGACTGCCCTTGAAGATCTATACTTCTTATATTTGTTATTTCTAGACTACAACTAGAGCTTAGTACTGTAGTGGCATCGGCATATAATATGAAATGACCATTAACTGTAGAAGGCAAGTCATTTATATAAATTAAAAAAAGCACAAGCCCTAAAATGGAACCTTGTGGAACACCAGCTGTACACATACTTCTTTTGAGAATAAACCGTTATATCTAACAGTTTGAGAACGTTCTTCGAGATATGATTGCATGAGTTTAATGGAAATTGCATCAAAATTATATGCTTTGAACTTATTTAACAAGATCTGATGATTTACACAATCAAAAGCTTTGCTTAAATCTAGAAAAGTTGCTGTTGTATAATTATTTTCATTAAATGTAATTAAGATTGTACTAGATAGATCTACAAGGGCGTCCGTCGTTGACTTTTTTGATCTAAAACCGTATTGTGCATTATTAAAAATATTATTGACCTCA